TTAGGAAGTTGTGGAGAGTCATAATCAACCACCACTTGAAAGAGTACGGCATATTAAAAAAACGTTCATATAATAGATAGATAGATAGATAAAGAGTTGACTCGAATTTGAAGGGAAAGGGATATATATAATCTTTTCCTTTTTATGTACCGCGTCCCTTCAGGACGTAGGCGATTATGACTCTCCATTTCCCCACTATCCCTTCTAACTCTCAATAAGTTTCGTCACTCTGCCACCTCCCTCAGATCACGTTCTGTCATCCACTTGCTTAAGCCCGCCAGGTATGTCATACTTTGTCTTCCCTTGTCTCTCTTTCCCTCTATTCGACCTGTGAGTATCAGATTCTCCAGGCCCTCTTTTCTCATTACGTGTCCCACAAACTTCCGCTGCCTCTTCATGATGCTAAGTATAAGCCTTCTCCTTGTTTGCATCCTCTCCAAGACCTTATCGTTGCTCACACGCTTGGTCTATGATATCCTCAGCATCCTTCTGTAGAACCACATCTCCGTTGCCCCGAGCCTCTTCTTCATCTTTGAGGAGGCCGTCCAACATCCGTTGCCGTAAAGGAGGCCAGATGTCACGTAACAGCTCAAGTTCTGTCATCTACTTGCTTAAGCCCGCCAGATCTGTCATCTTTGCTAACTAACTCGTTTTTAGGGGTCCCAGCTATGGGTAATTAGTTAACCCTCAAACAGGATTCAAAACACTATGAAAGTGTAAAATAGGTTTTCATACCAGCGATAAATTTTTGAAGAAAACAATTATTACCAGCAATACATTATTACCAACAATACATTTTTAGAGACAAATATTACCAGCAATGCATTTTTAAAGGAAAAAATATTACCAGTAATACATTTTTGAAAAAATATTACGATTAATACATTTTTGAAGGAAAAAAATATTACCAGCAATACATTTTTGAAAAAAAAATATTTCTAGCAATAAAAATCTTGTCGGCATTAAATAACACATTGAGGTTGATATACTATAAAACACAACAAACCAAACTTATAAACGTTTGATGTTACATTCATTTCCTATAGCTTTTAATGACTTAAATAACAGGTAGCCGTATCCATGTATGCATTTATCTATTTATTTTTATCTCAATCCCTCTCTCTATTTCTCACTCACTCACTCACTCTCACTCTCTCTCTCTCTCTCTCTCTCTATATATATATATATATATATATATATATATATATAATTTCAAGCAAGGCGATAAAGCCACTATGATAAAAACGGGTTACTGATGTTGAAATTATTATTGATGAAAGAAGATAATGAAAAACAGGTTTCGAGAAGACAGAAGATAATGACTGAACTATCCATTATTCTTTTTTAAGATCGTAGTTAACAGGGAAGCAAGAAGCCAGAAGAGAGTTCCACAAGCAAAAAGAGGCAAGAGAAGAAACAGTCAGCATAGAATTTACAGTTACCTGAAACATTTTCAATAGTATAAAGTTGAGACTTAGATGCCAATCCAATACTGCGCTTAAATTCGTAAAGTCGACGTACCAAAGTAGAAAGCTCATCAGTACAATTATCATGAGACTATTCATAGAAACAGCACAAGAAAACCACGTTACAGCGATGGAAAAGTGTTTGGAGTACAGATGCCAGATTAGAGCCGATAACATTGCAGCATCTTATGATTTTGACAAGAGTCTCTAAATGTACAGCAGAAGAGCCAAACCCGATATGTGACAGCAATATAGAATGCATTGTACTTAATAACGGTGCAGGACAGATTGTATCGAGAAAAAGTTGTCTAGAGAGACTACGTGGACCAAATTACTTAGAAGTAGATTCAATATAATCGTTTCATTTACTCATTTCTTATCCTTCTTTGTTTCCTTTTCGTATTCTCTGTCAGCAGGTACTGAATAATTACTGAGTCACTTCTGTGCACCCTCACAACGACAAAAGGTTAAAGTGCGAAAAGAACCACTTTCGTTCTATTGGCCACAAAAGGAACAATTACTGTAACGCATAGGTATTCTGAATTTCAGCCATGCGATCATGCATCTTAGACGATCATGTATCTTTTGACGAGGCAGATTTTTTTTTTTTTTTTAGGTAGCCATTTCTTTCTGCGATAGACATTTCTTTCTGCGATAGACCAGTTGTCATCCAAGGCTATAGAACCCGGTCTGGTGGGGGTGGGTGGGGGCTTATAAGACGAGGATTCATATTTACCTTGGGAAAGTGAAGATTTGTCTGATTTGAAGATTTGCCTGGAATTCGCCCCAAACATGGTGATAACTTCCGACCAACTATAGAAATGTATTGATCCTCAATCTAATGCACACACACACACACACACACACACACACACACACACACACACACACACACACACACACACACACACACAGAGAGAGAGAGAGAGAGAGAGAGAATATTTTTATATGTAACAGATTACAATAAAAAACTTTAATGGTTCCTCATCGGGCGATGGTATATAACATAATACTCCACCTGTTCATTCTTTTTT